ATCCACAGCTTGATATATAAATATTCTTCACCAATTCATAGATGACTCTGGGTTATATTAATCATATGGGAATTTGAAACAAAGTCACTATGAATTATTTATCAAAATGAATAATTTGTTTAGCTGTCTTCCTGTCAGAGTCTTTGAAATGCACTGAAGTAGATGTTTTAGAATGATTTTCATCGTTCTTTTAATCTATCTAGAACTGTTATTATGATCCAGCTATATCAGATACATTCAGAAATACTGAAATTTCAGGGTTTCCAATTGTCTGTCTCAAAATCGACCGTTCATTATTTTCAGGTAACGCCATCGGAAACTCTTGCATCCCTGAATCTCTGAAAAACTCTGTGATAGGCTGACAATGGACTTGTAATTGCTAAATAATTTATTTTTTATTTTATTTTTATTTTTGATTACAGCTTGATTCCACACTTTATTTTTGGTACAAGTATGGAATTTTCAGCATGGATATCGGTAGCCCAAATTTTGCAGGCCGACCATAGATATCAGGTGTGCGTCGGCAGGGGATCGAACCTCGGACTATATGGATGGTCGGCGAGATTCCTAACCACTGTGCCACCGACGCACAAGTAATACGAGTAAATACGGGTGCTTCGGTGGCATAGTGGTTAGGACGCTCGCCAACCATGCACATGTTCCGGGGTTCAATCCCCGGCTGACGCACTCCTTTAACCCGCTAAGCTAGAAATAAACCTGGTAAAGAGGAAAGGTTTGACATGAGGCTAGCGACCTTATCCTGTGAAAATAAACACTGCTACAGAAACTTCAATGCTCTAGCTTGAAGCCTTATGTTCCACTGGGAACGTGGAGGAATAAAAAAACAAGTAAATACGGAGTAAGGTTGTCTGTAAATATTTAGCTGTGCAGATATTTCTCGTTACCTCTTACATTCTGACATCACATAAGTACTTAGCACAAGCGAACTTCTATTTCTTATCGTTAACACTTTATTTTAACTGAAAAAAGCTCGATTCGTTTCAGGCTGTTAACAATTTAGACGTAAGGTAACCTGAAACAGTAACTCAATATTTTATTAAATTCTAATTACATACAATGCTGAAATGACTGAATCATCTAGGTATATTCGACACAATTTAGTCGAAAATGTTTTTCACTAACAAAGCACAAATAAACAGAAATCACCAAATTCTGTTATTTGTTAGATAAAATGTAAAGTGAATTAATCGTGACTGTGAAAATCATTATCGCTAACTCTGACGATTTTGCTATGCCACTCTTTCTAACTAAATAAACCATCGAAAACGTTGACGCTTTAGAATTCAAATCAAAAGTGGTCCAAACGGTCACCGAGCAGCTTTTAACATACTAAAGATCGATAATCCGTTGAAATGAGGTACACTTCATGGCTGCAAATAATGCTTTTCCTAACGAAATAACCAGATTTTTAGTTGATTTCTTCGTCTCTTAGTGTAACTTCGTTATTTTTCCTTCAAAAGATGAAATGATTTCCTTAACTAATAACAAGTTTCACAGTCATCGCATCAGCATTGGATGTCGAAAATCAGACTGTGATACTCTTATAATAACAAAGAATTCCACAATGAATAATAAGCGTATTTCACTGGATTAGCACTAATTTCAGAAGCATTTGTTTGGTTTATAATATTTATAACTCCATAAGCTTAGCTATGATAGCGGTAAATGTTTTACCTAGATAATGAACTGTCTGTATAACGAGTGAGCAATTATCAAGTGACAGACAAATATTTTAGCGGTTAACTTCTCCCAAGTTTTCTTTATTCCTTTACGTTCCCAGTGGAACATAGGACTTGAAGTTTCGGTAGCAGTGTTGTTTATTTTACAGGATGTGGTTGCTAGCCTCATTCCCAATCTTCCGTTTTTACCTGTTTTTATTACTGGCTTAGTGAGGCAAAGGAGTGAGTCGACCAGGGATCTAACCCTAAGTATTTATCACTAAAAATTCACAGATGGTCAACAAATAGCTCTTTTGAAACATTGTTCACATTTGACTGGACTGTCTACATAACAGTACTAAAGACTTATTTGTAGACTCAAGCAGTTCACTGCTGAAGTTACTGATTCTTATCTATTTCAATGCTTCAAGTGCGTTGCGTATTCTCAAACACCACAGAATCTTGTGCTCCACAAAAGAGTGAGTATATTAAGAAAAGAAGATTCGAACTCAGTAACTTCAGGGGATATTTTGTTTAAGCACTGGATTTAAATTACTATAATGTTGCTGAATACTAATAGCGTCAAGAGTTAATGGTTAACTGATAGTACAGCTTGTCTCCTAATCGACTAGACTACCAACCGGTGTAATGTGTTAGATAAGGATACTTTATCTTTTGTTTAGCCAAGATTTTTATACTACTAGAAATGTCTTCTTAATACCTCACAAGAATTTATTATTTGTCTCTGGGCTGTGGCGCATTCGTAAAAGCAGTCTATTGTCAACATATTGACTAATAAATCGATAAGTTGACACAGCATGAAGAAACACCCACAACAGACAAACATATGTGTAGGGCAGATGATAGGCAGATGGAAACTATCAATTTTTAGAACCTAGAAAATTATACTGATCACACAAAACTACAACGCTGTTAACTATATGAAGCAGATCATCAAGAATCAACAACAACTAACTTTCATGAATGAGTTTAAATATATAATTGATCAGAATGTCTGAGAAGTTGAATAACAAGCGTGAGACATAGATCTGTTTCATTATTCTGTGAAGTTTTGTTTCTGATTTCATTCAAACACACACGATGGGAAAAGCATATCTGAAAACCAACTAGTCTTCCCTTCAGTGACAATGTAACACGTTTGTGTAGACAATAAGTGAAAAATCATGAGTTTGACATCACTAATATGTGCCTACTTCATTCATTTTAAATGTTTAATAATGCCAGGTATAACTTTAAAACATTTCGTCTACCAATCTCATTCCTGGACAGAAATAAGAAATCATAGTTCAATTGTTTGTAATAATAATTACACTTTGTTCTAAAATTTTACTATTAAATTCATTTGACAATTATTTACTCCCTTAATGTGGACCATCAGAAGAAAAATTCTTTAAACTTCATTGAGTGTAATCCAACTTTGTGTGTTGAACTCACGAATTCTAAGTGCCTTCTACCTCGCCTGTTAGTCTTTTTAAATGCCAGTTTGTGGAAGGAAACTGTTTCAGTTAGCAGCTGAACTGCTACATAACTAAAACCAACTTGTTAAATGAAAGTGATAAGATATTTAAATTTTTTGAGAAACCACATTGATAATCCCCAGGGTTTGGGTTCGAATCATACAATAAATCAATTGCTTCCACGATTTTGCATGCAAATTTAGCTAATGAAAACCACTTCAGACAGTTAAATGGAGAAACTTTGTCATTTTTCATCGACTGCTTGAATCATCGCCTTGCGTTTTTCATATTTTTAAAGTGTAAGATTTACACTACATTATTTGATAAAGCAAGAAGATAAAGTTCGAAATCTTTAACAGGCACTGTCAGTAAACATGTGAAACTTTCACAGATTTAACCCACCATCGCTTAACGGAATCAATACAATCTTACAAACACAATGGACACTTCTCTATAACATCAACAGTTGAGTTCAGTAGTGGCCAAGGAATGTGCTTACTGCATTTTTCGAAATCTGAACTATACTCGCCCTTGCATTTTCTCAGTAGCCAGGAGACTATCATCACATACTGACTTCAGTTCCTGTGTATGTCGTCATGATGACTTCATTTCAAGAAATGCTCACAGTTATTATTAAAAGAAATGTACTCTAGTTTTGAACACCCATAAAAAAATTGACGCAAACTGTTACAAACACTACTATCATTTAATTATGGCTTCGAATAGCGGTTTATAATGAGAGAATTATGGTAAGTGAAGACCGAGAAAGTGGTAGTTTTGAGATTTTTAGATTAAGACGTCATTGTCCCACATGTATGTATTTTAAGTATGAAAGAGACATTATTCTAAACAAGTCGAAGACTGGGGAAAGTCCCGAAGTTTATACGTGAACTGCACTGTTTTTATTCGGCACTAAGAACCGTGAAATCCTAAAAGCATAATGCTTTAAAAAATATTTCTCATATGATATAATTATTCATATGTATATATAGAGACGAAAATTGAATTAATTTAATCCAACCAAGGAACAAGCACACTTTACTTCCAAACTACCGAACAAACACTTTTAGAAGATCAAATAAATCTTAAAACACTAAGGTAACGTTTCTGCAGAAGATGCAAGGTGTGATTAATAAACTACAAATATCGGAATCACTTAATATCAAAAAATGAGTAGAAATACAAAGAACTCATCTTTGAGATTATTACTGGACCACATATAGAGCCGTTATTTAAAAAGTTCCAAAATGTGCAACTAGTAGTACAAGATCTTAAATAACAGAAAAGTTACTGAGGAAAAACTTGGAAGGGCCTACAGTATCATTTCAGTAGTAGTAGCTTCATAATGCAAGGCTTTAGTACCAAGGTTCCTAGAAGTAATCCTATGCCAATGGAAAAGGTTCTTGAAAAGCTGCAAGCATTCTAATTCACGTAATTAAGATCACCACCAGAAGATATAAAACTGTTTACAAAACAATATAGTCCAAATTTATCGTGATCGGAATGAAATGGGCATAATTGAGGAGTATAATAAAATTAAATATGGCCAGTCTTCAGAAAAGGCCAATAAATGCCACAGGATTCAATTAAAAGTCGAAAACAACTGCAGAACCTGCGAATGTCGGAAAGTATTAATAGAAATTGTAAATGCAACATAAAAATTTCAACTGTTTTTTATTTTGTACACTGTCCTTGACTTGAAAAAAGTTATAAATTTAACCACAAATGGACATAATGTCTGAAAGCTACTTAGTCTAGTTATTGCACGGAAAGTACCACTGAATAGCAATTATCTGCTCTTTTACGAACATACACTATGTGTTATTACTACAAAGAAACTCACTTTAAATGTTGGAGGAGAATTTGATGTGATGTCGTGAGTCATTTAGTGAGGTGTTTTGCACATTTTATGACATCATTTGAAATCAACCTTATTTCTCAAGGTTAACGAAGGGCACTTCACTCATTAACTTAAACAATAACCATCTGCACGGATACATGTGTCTTCTGATGCGGCTTTAAGTTTATATTCACTTAAGTACGAGCCAATTGCTACTATAATAACTCTTCGGATAAGAAAATACGTGTTTTATGGCTACTTTTTCAGAGCTTCCCCCATGATTGAAGTGCCGAAAGTGATATACATGTCACATTACTGTAACTTTCCTGTACCGCACTGTCTTTCCTGATACTTTTCTTCGAATTTCTAATTATAAGTCCCTTAAGAACACAAAGCAGTCATGTTTAATGGTTATCAGTGTGCAAAATTCTCTAAATAGTTACTATGTGTCGTTTGTCTAGTCCTCCATATATGACGGATGTCTCAGGGAGTCTAAGTATAAGGTGTGTTTTTGTTGGCCTCTTGAGATTTTGGTAGGGCTAAACTATCGTGTTTAAGTATGAGAAAGTATTTAACACAAAAACGAAAACAGCATACTTCCACATCTTCAATTAAGAGAAGATACTAATAGAAGCTCAAAACTTTTTATTAGGATAGGTTTGATTCCGCACTAAAGCAGCTTGCTGAAAATAAGATTGCATTACACATAAAGACGATGAAATGAAGCCAACGTCATGCAATATTCAGATGGTGTTTTACCTAAGTGTTAAATCTAAGAGCATGCATTAGTATATTAAAATCAAAATTCATATTCTATTTCTCATCATCAAACAGATAAAGCAATTTAGTAATTATTGTTGTTGTTTGAGTAAACATCTTTGTTAACCACGAGCGATTTTTTCAGGCATTACTGCCCCTGTCAATGAATGTCACACAAACTTAAAACTGAAGGTCCGTAATATGGTTACGTGATGCACAAATTAGAATAAAGCATTTTTGCAGTGACCTTAACGGTTGGATTCTAGATACAACTCCTCCGAAGTACTGTAGTGGCAGCGCCACTTCATCCACTTCAGTCATTTACAGTCGCCTGTGAGATTTCGAAGTCAGGTAGCTACATTTCCAAGTTCAAGGAAGTCATTGGTTTTGTATATACTGGGTAATGCCATAAGATCATTTCTGTTACGCTTCAGTTCTAGGAGTAATACTTCTGTGGACCGCATATGTTCATTCGTTCAACACCAGCGGAATTATTTCTGAATAGCCGGAGGCCACATCCTCTAAGTGTTTTCTGTGGGTCCATTTTATGCCTGTCTCCTCGTTGCCCGCCGCTGTCTGCTGCATTATCCAGTCTACCACAATCACGGAAATCATTGGAGATAGTAAGCAACCAGCCAGTCAGCCGGCTAGCTAGCCTTATCTTACTCCCGTCTTCACTTTTTCGAAGGATTTCGTGAGGTTCAATCTGTGGATTACTTGGCATGCAGCATTGCCGTACATCTGTCGTATGGGGTATATAATTGTTAGTGACACCTCGCGGCAGGGAAGTAGTTTCGAAACCACTTCTCGATCGACGTTCCCCTGTCGAAGGCTTTTCAAAATCGATGAAGTTGAGGTAGACGGCTGACTGCCATTCCAACCTCTCTTCAACGATGATCAGTAGTGGTGAGATTTGATTGATGCATTTCCTGTTTCTTCGTAATCCAGCCTGTTCCGGTCGACGTTTTGTATACAGGGTGGCATGTTCGATTCTTTCCAGCCAGGATGGTGCGGCTTAGTATTTTGCTCGAGATGGACAGGAGAATAATCCCGCACCAGCTCTCGCATTCACTTAGGTCTCTTTTCTTTGGTGGCTTTCAATGGGTTGGCTCTTCTTCCAATCCGAAGGCAACTCGCCCTCTTTCCACACCTTCTTCACTGGTGGTGTCGTCAAGTACGCTGATGTTTGTGGGTCCATTTCCAATGCTTCTGCGAGATGTTTGTCCGGTCTTGCTGATTCTGCGGATCTTAGCGTCTTTACCGCCTTCAGGATTTCCGTTTCCGTCGGAGGGTTGATGTCCACTGGTAGATCTGCTTGCGCTGTTGGTATTATTGGGCGCGTTGTAGATGGCGGTCGATTTAGAGGTTATTTGAAGTCTTCAGTCCAGTGTTTCCTTCGCTCCATCTCTTCGGCGATTGACTTACCCTTGTCATCCTTCACTTGCTCAACTTGTGTTGATCTCTTCCCCGATAGGAATCTAGTTGAGTGGTAGAGTGTGGCAAGGTCTCCTTTGCCCGCAGCTTGTTCTGCTTCACTTCCTATGGCTTCATAACATTGTCTTCTGTCCTCCCTGACACTTCTGCCTACTCTTTTCTTCAGAGTATTGTGGATTGCATTCAACTCGTGTTTTTGTTGGTCGTCGATGCAGTGGATAGATAATCTTTTGTTCCACCATGCTTCTCTCTTCTATCAGTCTCCATGTGTTTGTGATGAGGCACTGTTCGTCCTGTCTCTTCTTTCTTCCTAGAACTTTTATTCAGCTCTGACTCCAATTAGCTCTCAGGTTGTTCCAGTGCTTTTCACCTCTGTTCTCTTCGCTACTGTTGATTTGTGTCTCTAGCAGGATTGTGATGAAGTCAGTTCGGTTTTCGGTTCTCCCGCCTGGCATAACTCCAGTAGCCTTGTGAGTTGGAACAATGAAATGATGGTTATAGTTGTGAGATTGGATTGGTCTTTACATGAAGCTGCAGACAATAATAACAGTCATCATTGCATGTTTCACAAAGTAGGATTTAGCATTTTTTGGTGATCACTAAAAATAGTGCGTGGTGCCCCTATGCAACTTGAAAATAACAGGTTACACGAGATTGTGAGGATAGCAGAATTCCAGAAACTTTTAGATGATTGCTTAGAGGAAGAAGAATTTTGACTGGCTCACAAGACATAGTCATTCGCTAGGACGCGTGCACATCCCTCTAGCCTCAATGTATTTGCTGCATGAAGACCAGACTACTGTTTAAATGTCAAACCAAGACAACAAATACATGATTCAAAATACGAAGTATATTTTTCAATGAGTGCCGCTGTTCAGGAAAGCATACTTGGCTGACCAGAACACCTGCAAGAACAGACTAAATTATTGCGACAATGCGCAGAACAAGAAAGTTGCTTGGCAAAGCATATTTGGTTTAACCAGTCAACTCGAATAGTGGAAGTCGAATGGTGAAAGCTGCAAGCGAAAATCTTGGGCCAGTGCTACAGCTCATACTCTCCTAGTATGATCCTTGGGCCCCTAGGTTTATACCCTCTAAAAGTCAAAACCTGTTTCCGGCACCATAAATGCAATTATTCCTGTGGGTACCACGGTGAACAGCTTTGTGGTCGTCTGCCTATATCAGTGTGATCCCAGTAGGAAGATTCTTCATATATTGATCAATTGGTTTGTGTGCTTTCTTCTTTTCTTGACCGGCCTGTTGGAACATAGAAGAGGAAACTGAAAAACCAAGGACAATTATAGAGAGGTACTTCAGATGACAAATCAAGAGGGAAACCAAGTCAAACACATTGGAAGGGAGTTCACTGTTCATTAGGAAAAACAAGCCTGGCAAATCATGAGGAAGACGCAATCGCCCCTTGGTTACTCGTACCATCCAAAAGATACTCGGGTTTTTTGTCAATGCGAAGTCAATATCTCTACATCTTTTGATGTGGTTCATTGAATCACCAGTTATCGAATTTTTCCCACAAACTAAAGACCAAAAGACAGCAACTGTGTAATTTAACCACAAGTCATGTAATTTAAATAATACAAACCCATGCTTTACAACTGGTGTGTCCTACATAGCTAGGAATAAATACGTACCTTATTATGTTATCATTACTAAATATGCTTACTAATCGTATGTGCAATTTATCGAATTGATAATGCCTGTAAACTGGCGTCCCTCATGTACATGAGAATATATTTTTATTATTAACTCCTTAGTCACCTACCACATTCGAGTGGCCGTCTCATATTGTGTTACAGGAGCCCTAAATGAGTGTTAAAATTCACAATTCACATGGTCTACTTGTATTACTGGTACAGATCGTAATGTTAGACTGTCTGTCACACAAATGCACCCATGATGGTCTGGACTTCCTGTGAAATAGTCAACTGGTGGAGCGGTGGTCAAACAAGATGTAAATACATTATATGACTGGCAATTCCGGAAGAAAAAACTGCATTGCGCAGTAAATTTCCTGTTGTTAGCCATTCTTATTATGTTGCCCCGCAGGACAATATAGTTCAAACTTAAAATTGTCCTTCCATTGGAGCGATCTAAGATGTACTCTAACTTCCAATTTCTGATACATTGGATTTTATTACTGTCAACATTTTAGCCCGGTAGAGCTTTTATCAACAAGCTTTTCAAGATATCTCTTAGTTTTAGAAACTGTAGGTTATTATCGTCTTGGACCTCTAAATATGGCCTTGAATATTTCTTGTGTAACTACAGGAAAGTATAAATGTAACTAAGCTTGGCTGCAAAAGCACGAAAACGTCCTTTTGTTGATTGTGGTAACGCCTCCTATGCTATTAGAGGTATATTCATATTGACATGGCGCTGACTAGCAAATTAAACTGAGTTCTGTTTGGAAGTTTCAGGTTAATGCCTTCATACTACGCATTTGTTGTACTGCTTTATAGGAGAATGGTGGGACCTATGGATTTGCCATGGGCTACCATTTGAGGGAAGCCACAAGAGGCATTCAGATAGTGAAGACAAAGAGAATATAATAGAAACTACTAGCAAATGTATAAATGGCTACTATGCCACATATGTTCTTGGGAAACCTGAGTCACTTGCATGCTGAAAAAGCAAACGAAATGCAAGATTCAGAGTGGAGAAATTCACATTCGGGACCTGCCTAAGAAACTAGAAATTTAAATTATGGTTTACGCCAGTCTTTGTCAGCTGATATGGAATTTCTGCGACACAGAGATCAATTTCCACTAAAGTGGCATACATTCCACCTAATGCGAGGAACAAAAATATGTATCAATCATAAAGTGTCGTGAGACTGTGCGTCGACGGCACAGAGTTTAGGTCTGTCGCCGACCATGCACATGATCCATGGTTGGATCCCCGACCGACATACACCTGATATCAGTGATCGGCCAGCTAAATTTGGGCCACCGATAAAACATGCTGAGAATTCCATACCTGTATCAAAAGTACTACGAGGAGTCAAGCTAT